TTAAGCATTGGTTTTGTTCTTGAGTTGCTATCAAGAAGCCTACGACAAAGTGATCCTCTATTATCTTATCTCTTTTCCCTTGTGATGGAGTATTTATCTAGCCTTGAGAATGATGTTTAAGGAGAAGAACTTCATATTTCACCTGAAGTGCCATAGGACCCAACTAACTCAATTGGCTTATACAAATGATCTCTCCACCTTTTCCAAGACAGATCTTAAATCTGTGAGGTTGATCAATCAAACAATCCAACATTTTGCTTGTACATCTAGGCTTTATTCGAACCAGTCCAAAAGCAACATATTTTTTCGTGGATCTTTTCATAATATCATACTCCCTCCGTCCCATAATTATTGTCCACTTTGCCTAAATAATTTTGTCCCAAAATTATTGTCCAATTTGACTTTTTATGGATCAAATTACACATTTGTCCTTAGTAAAAAACATTATCCATAAAATCTTAGTGGTTAAATGTACTTATGAAGGGGTATATTTGGTTGTTTAAGGTAAAATATAGTTAAATTTGACCACAAATAAAATCTTTAATTTTAGTAAAACTGGACAATAATTATGGGACGGAGGGAGTACAAGATATAGCCAATTATTTGAGATTCCAAGATGATTGTCTGTCGGTTAAATATCTCGAGGTTCCTTCAATTCAAAATCCTTTTCCATTTCAGATTTTCAGCTGCTTGTGGAGAGAATTACAGAAAGAATTCGAAGCTGGACCACAAGATTTTTTCCTTATGCTGGAAGAGTTGTTTTTGTTTAAGTTTTTGTGCTAAACTTTCATAATTATTGGTGGTGAATCTTTGTGCTCCTCAAAAAGATCATTAAAAAGATTGATATATAACCCCTGCAGATCATTCCTTTGGTTAGGTGGCCAATGAAATTAGAAAGACATTAGTAGCTTGGCATCATGCGTGTAAGCCACTTAGCTCGGGGGGTCTTAGCCTGAAAGACTCGATAATGGTCAACAACTTTTTATTGATAAAACTGATTTAGGATATCCAACATAATGTGGAGAGTGGTTGGATTAAATAATTGTATGAATACTACATGAAAGATGAATTTTTTTGGAGTTTACATGCAAAACAAAATACTTCTTGGCCAATGAAATAATTACTCAACTTGACGCGAATGGCAATCAGATATATGAATGTTCGGGACCATGGTCTGGAACGAATTGGTGCAGGAATAGAGTTTTTGGTGACAGGTAGATAAAAAATCCTTTGTGATCGGGGTATAATAAACCCTCGATGTCTCTTATCTTGGGGCAATTTCACTATTCCAAAATTTGATTTTAGTACATGGTTGGTTTGTTTATATCGCTTAAATACTGGAGTTAGAATCTCCAAGTATGACCCACATATGAATAGAAGATGTCCACTCTATTTATTAGCTTATGAATCTATCGATCACTTATTCTTTGAATACCTATCCTTGGTATAAATTATAACAAAGATCTTGGTATAGAAAGGAACATTATTTTACACAACATTGATTAAGAAAAAAAAGACCCTGATCTAAGGATAATATTCTGAAGTGACAGGAGGAAAATGTTCGAGTCAAACAACACCATTCATCAAGAAATTAAGAGGGAGACTCAAAAAAAGCAATGGCATGATAAGGTTTTCTTTTCTTTTTTTTTTTTGCGTATATTGCAGGGTGTCCTCGGTCGATAACATTAACTAATCCTTCTCGTTCATGCTAGATACCTTAATGGATGGGAGAGCTAGATAAAGGAGTTAGGAGGTGCTTGTTTCGTAGGTTTCAAACCAAAAGATTGGGTTTGATATCTAATTGATAATGATAGAGCTGCTTGGTTCAAAACATCGGAATGTTATGAGCCCACCAAATTGGGATTGATTCCAAATAATCCATTTCCCAACTTTATGATGGGTATGCTAATTAAAAAGTGAAACTCCAATTCTTTTCTTTTTTTTGCCCTTCTTGTCTTTCTCGCCTCAACAGTGAACACCCAAACTTCCGCCCTGCTCTCCAAGCTCCAATTTGATCTCTATCCCCAACCTCTCTAAGCGGACAAGTAACAATATATTGTCGATTATCAACAGCAGAATCGGGATGACCAAGGCCGATTTGGTGAGAATAGTCTAGGAACGATTGCAAGATCCGGAACAAAAAGTTCATCAAAATTCTTGTCGCCGACGGTCAGTTCGAAACCTCCGACCTCTTCTCCAATTTTATCTCCTTCCCCTTGCAATTACCTCTGCCGTTCTTTATAATTTGATTATTCAACAGTGACCGAAGTGACGCATCGATCGTTTTTTGTTAGTTGTCCTTTGATATCTAAACTTGATTCTTTGTTCCATTTTCTTACCTTAGATTTGGATAGGTGCTGAAATTTGGTTTCAACTTGGTCGTTTCTCCACTTTTTTGAGTTGTGAGGGTGGGTGGTTGGTGTGAGAAACTGAGGCGGCTCAGGCAACAATGGTGGTGGTACAAGGACAACAATTTGGTGATGTGCATTAGATGTGAGGGTAGTTTTGAAATTTTGTCTTAATACCAATTTTTATATACACATAAACTAATCATTTAAAATTAAGTTTTAATACAAATTCTTATATTTAATCTATCAATCCCACTCAAAGTCTATGATTCCCATTTCAAACTATTACTCCAACGGTTGAACCAGGCACCCTCTTAAAGTTGTTCTATGCTTGTTGCGAGTTTCAAACTCTTGAGCAATAGTTAAAGGAGGAGAAGTCCTTACCACTCCATCACAACTCTTTTGATAAATGACATGAAATTACATATTTACATGCATATGTTTTCTCTTGGATTTTCTTAAAAATGTTTATATATTTAGGTCTTTCTCCTTCAAGGATGAAGTAAGATTGTCCCGTACATATTTCCTCCTTTCTAAAACAATACTTATTCGACTTTTCATTTTTTGTAGGAATTAAATTAAAAATAAAAAAATCAAACAATAAAATTATTTTGAGAGAAAGGGATTGCAATTTTTAGAAAGGGACAATGATGGTGTATGTCTCTCTGTCAGACGCGTAAAGTCAAAGTTTGTAAAGGCATCTACTAATTTCACCGCTACTAAAAAAAAAAAAAACCTTAAATATTACTTTCAAATGCTTTTTCTGTTTTTGATTTTGCAATCATTCAAGGGTAGAGCCAAGCGTGTGATTTCTCGAGAAACTAAACCAAAGCAAAAGGGAAAAGAAACATGAAATGTTTAAATTAAATCCATATCATTATTGATACAAAATACATAAATATATATATCCCTATCATTATACTCCTATTCCTACATCATGCCATATAGGAAAACACGTTTTCACAAGATTCTTATTTATCCCAAAAGTTACAACGCTGGCCGCAGGTAACGCCGCTTGCCTCTTTGCTCATCAACCATCGCTTGTCAAGCTTTTATAAAGACAGAATAGATTACGAGTTAAAGATTCGAATATTGGTAATTTCCCTCCCCCACAGAATAGATTACGAGTTAAAGATTCGAATATTGGTAATTTCCCCCCCCGCTTCTTTTCCGTTAAATTCAAGTGAGCCATTTTGTCATCGTTAATCACTATGAAATGGCGGACTTCATTCTCAAAGGTTTAATTTTTACTTTTCAATATGTAACGACTTGCAATGGCTGGTTAAAATGGAAAAAGGTTACATTTTGGTTCCAAATACCCCAAAAAACAAAGAAAAAGAATATGGGGAATGTGATATCAGAATAAGGATGAAGCTCAAGTCGGTATTTTAGAGGTCAAGAAATCAAATTGTTTAATGTTGAATGAATGTCAATGAATATTTAAAAAATATTAGTCACTTCTTTCTTGCACCAAAAGAAAGAAGGAAAAAGATAAGAACTCAAACATGTATTATTTGGATCCAAGAAAAATTGAACTTGTCCTAGAATATTTAAATTCATCTACAAAACAAAAACAATGCCATGATACAATTTTAATTACGGCTATTTTTTTTAAAAAAAAAAATTGGGATTCAATTTGGCGTGCGCGCCTTTTTTCTCCCCTTCCGAAACCTGGGAATATGGATAATTGGATATCATAATGTTAATGGAGTACGATAACCTTACTCTTATTAGAGCTTTTTCGCACTGTTACAAAATAGTTGCAGTTAACATATATATCAATTAATTGAGGGACATTGATAAATAATACGATATCCTCGCTTTGTCTTAAAATGATTCGTCAATATAAATTTATATATCAATATTCCCTCTGTCCCAAAATTATTGTCCAGTTTGAGATTTTACTTTCAGTACAATTTGAACTAAAAATGAAAACTCAAACTGGATAATAATTATGGGACGGAGGGAATATATTTTATATTAAAAGTAAAATTTTAAATTAAAAAACAAAAAAAATCATTTCGGAAAGGGGGCAACAAAATTTACCGTACGTGAAAGCAATAATAGATGCACCGAGTCACTTAATCAGCATGAATTAATAACTTAATTATCAGTACAGTACCTCTCGGCATCTTGTGAGCTTTGCAATTTGAATTTTTGGGGGATAAGTATTCCTAGAAATATCGTTGCTTGTAAGACGAAAAAACCAATTGCTTGTTTTGCAACAACGGGGAGCATACAGGCGCAATAGAAAGGTAATTTATGTTTAATTAAAATTTTCAGATGTAATCCGTGCCTCATGCGTTGAGACAAACAAGCTTCACAGTGTAGTGTAGGTAGAAATTGATTTTTCCGATTTACCAAAAAAAAAAAAAAGGAAAAAAAAGAGGGGATTTTGACAAAAACCAGCTGCGCAGTGTTGACGCGGTTTGAGTGATAAGGTAGTGTGTACCTAACATTTCTTTTCCTATACTTTCTTGACATATGTCATATACATAGATTCGAAGAGTAAGAAGAAATAAATAAATAAATAAAAAATTATAATAAATGTGTTTAAAGGAGACACAAAAAAAGATGCAGTATATTCGTTTTGATTTGAGTTTTCTCAAACAATATCAAGTAAGATGAAAGTAATTAGATGACAATTGTCAAGGTGTCTCCAAATACTAACATACTAAATCCAAAACCTAATTACTGGAATAACCGATCCAAGTCAATCTGAGGATTAATGCGTTGCTCAAATTCAGACTCACTCAAAATATCACAAGTAAAAAATACTCCTGGCCCGATGAACCGAGCTAGACAATAAATTTATCCACTTTCCTTTTCATGGAGTTGCTGGCTGAAAAAATGTAGTAGTACATATTTGGAAAGAGGCCTATTTCTTTGTTGTTATAGGTTGGGGAAAGAGGAAGGACCCATCTTCGAGTCGTCCACTGAGTCATCATAAACCAAATACGTTTTCAATTTTTCATCCCCTAATAATTAAATAAAAAATGAAACAAGAGCAAATGATTTTTCCCAAACTATGAACAAAAAGAAGATGAAAACAGATCACCATCAAAGAGTACCTTATAGCATCAACCAATTGAGAGATAAGAAGCTAAATTAAAGATGGAACTTAGCCATCAAATTAACATTATAACACCCCTTAATTACTTCTACAAAATTAAAGAACAGAGACCATCATTACCCTGCCGTAGTAATGATGCAAAAAAAAAAAAAAAAAAAGAAAAAAAGATGAATGATCGTGGTTGTTGTTCACATCCAACAAAAGTTCTAATTTTTCCCCCAACCAGTACTATAAACAAGTTCCCCTATTTCCCTAAGAACTAGATTACAATTTCTTGATTAATTCCATGATTCAAGAGTTGGGAAGCTACAGAGAGACTGGAAATCAAACCCAACAGAGCCACCCTCGGGCAAAACCACCGTAGCTGGCGGAGTGGCAGTAGCTTGCGGCGGCGCCACCAAACTCCGATGTCCCTGCGGCTGTTGGTTAGATGGATCGAGTAAAAAAGCAGAGGTGTCAAGGGTAGGCAAGCACCCACTCTGAATCCGGTTAACCGGTCGGTGAGGCTCCGGTTTGAGCACCGTGGTGAGCGTCGCCGGGAGGAGATGTCCTCCGTTCCCGCCGAACCTAACTCCGGTCACCTGCTGAACCATCTGGCGGAAATTAGCAGGATCCGCCGTGATAAACGTCGTCGTCGAGCGCTTGGAGGCGCGTGATTTCCGCTTCGTAATCTTCCCACCGTTTACCCCACCCAAGCCGTTTTTCCGTTTCGAAGCCGCAGTCTCGTTCTCCGTCGACCCACCAGAAACCGTCGGGGTGTGAACCGCCGCCGTTGTAGTCTCCGGCGGGTAGAACGGATTTATCATTTCACTGGACAGATTATCGGAATGGTTGGATAGGGATTTCTGGAGGGCTCTGGTTAAGGTTTCGGTGTCTCTGGCAAAGGCCTCCGTCAGCCATGAATCAGCAAATGTTGGACGGAAAGCCCAGGATGGTTCCATTGTGACCAGATTATCCGAGGACGCCATTAATATCTAGATTTCAAAAACAGAGAAAGCAAAAAACAGAGATCAAGTATTTCCCTTAATAACAACAAATCAAATACTATGACATTTATATTTTTTCAAAGATGATTGGATATGTGGAGCAGCTGTAAGGCAAAAGAAGAGTAAAGGAGAAGCTGATTTTTGCTTGGGGAGAAAGTAGAGTGAGAGAGAGAAGGAAGAAGGGAGGAAATAACTAAATAGGAAAGGGAAGCTTTGTTTGGGGGGTATTAAATAGGACGGTGCGAGACTAAGGAAGGAACTCAATCGACTATAATATTGCTGCTTATTGGTCAAAAGTTTGCCATTTTCATTTTTTTCTTTTTTATAAATGCCAAATACCGTACTAACTTATTGAAAATATGTCTCACTCCTCAATTTTTTTTTTTGTTTTACTTTAAAGTACAAAATAAAATAAATTGTCAAAGTGTATGGCATTTTACAAAACCCTTAACAAATGCTTATACATAAGAGTAAGACACTACGTTAGAAAACATTTTGTGATTTTTCATTTGAGAAAGGATGTACTCGAATTGAAAGATTACTTGATTATCTTATATGTGTCCATAACCATATGCATTACCACTATTGATCCCTTTCTTAAAGAAAAAAAAAAAAACCATATGCATTATATAGAAAATATGAGAGTATTGAGTTCCAATGCATTCCCAATTTATAGAGAGACACTGTTTATTAATCTTGCATTAGTAACTGAACTATCACTATCCAGTCAACATGATTACAGTCATTTACATAACAAGTAAAAAAAACCAGTATTACGAAATAGTTTTGAATGCAACACTAATTAATGATTGGAACTTATATTACTAATTGTCCAAAATTTTATTCAGACTTGATAAGGTAAATTAAGAAAACTTCACCCTTCAACATTAGTTTCATAAAACGAAGACTAGAATTTCGACAGTCCACATTTCTCTCTTTTTTTTTTCTAATAAATGAATAATCGATTGTGAAGAAATATTTATACACATTGTAATTGCGTAACACATAAAATCATAGAGCGTAGTGTGAAATTCCAATACCGCGAATAGGTGATAGAGAAATACTCATGTTAATCTTCAAATCATTGAGTATTATTCTATTAAATATTTGTCCACTTTAAAATTTTTAAGTTTTTTAATATCTTACTAGAATTATCCCTGTGTGTCGCACGGATTGTGCTACATGTATTGCGTAAAATTGTACTCCCTCCGTTCCAAAATAAGTGTCTTTTTAGTAAAATGGAGAAATTTCAAAATAAGTGTCGTTCTCACATTTCAATGCACTTTTTGTCCAAAGTTTTTAAAATTGCCCTCGAAAGAAATAATACTATTGGTGGATATTTTTTTAGTGGGGTTGGTTGAGGATATTCAAGTAATTTTATTACCCTATTTAAGAGTTTCTTAAACTATGTGCAAAGTGTAGAATGACACTTATTTTAGAATAGAGGGAGTAAAAATTATGATCAAATGTGAGTCGAACGTTATCACCATGTAATGATAAAGTTTGTGTCGGATTTTATTGTAAAATTTATTTCTTATTTTGAAGATATTGTACATTTTGATGAAATATCACGACTCTTTGTAGTAAAATTTTAGAAGTAATAATCGATAAAATTAATAATAATTTGATAGTATAATTTCCTAAATTTTTACAAATAAATTAAGTAAACTCAAAATAAAAGTTTTCAGAAAATGTAAATATATATAGTATTTTAGACAACATCCCGTTCGTAATATTTTTTTGTTAGATTTGCCTGAAAAAATTACATTTTATACATATTTGATGGTTTTTCATCCACTGAAATAAAGTTTATGATTTTATTTTTAAAAAATAATTCCACCACGATGAACTTTGCTTAAAAATTTAGGAAAAATCATTCTTAACAACCGATAAGAAAAAGCTAAAAATAATTAGCAATGAAAAGATGGTTTTTCATTATTAATTAAGTAATCAAATATATATATATATATATATATATAATGTAATAAAAATAGGTGAAATACATTGGTAAAAATTAAATTGAAATAACCAATTTACAAAAATTTTAACAGTTTAATGAAAGGAATCTTTGGCGTTAACACGTGTTAAAAAAAACTCTGAACTTGACATGTGACAAAAAATGCTCTGAACATTCTAATTGAGCTACATGTGTTAATTGAAAACTCTTATTTAATATATTGTATAGATATTAAAATCTTAAACTGAAGATAAGTATTTCTAAACGGATATATTCTTTCCGTTTTAAATTATTGTACGGTATGGATTGAATATAAAATTAAATATTCAGATTAGATAATAATTTTGAGGTTGAGAAGAGTAGTATTTTTTGTTTGCTTTCTAGAAAGAAATTAGGAAGGGGACCATATTATGATAAATTGCTGCTAATAGAGAGTGGGGTTAGTTGTGGGTAGGGTCAGATTTATAGAAAAATTATTGGATAGAGTTGCTTTATTCTGAATTTTAGTACAGTAAGTACTAGCATCCCTCTATTTGGTGTATAAGTTGCGTAAAAATTTATTTTTTCTCTCAAAATTACTATTTTATCCCTATTATTATGTTTGGCTGTACAATCGTGTAATACACTATGTGCACTGAATAATTTTTCGTGTATATATATAGATAGGTGGAAGGGGGTTGAGGGAGAGAGAGGGTGGGGTATGTTTTTCGTTTTGTGGGGGACGAGGAACCGCGTTCCTTGGGACACGCGTCAGCAAGTGTGTACGGACACTAAAACCATGGTTTTTGAATATCTGATTTAGGGTTGACTGTAGTCTGAGTGAGACTATAAGAATTATACTTATACCTATGTTGGACAGTAGGAGTACCTATTTGAATTAATCAAACTGTTTAATTTAAATTATTCCATCCTTCGGAGACAGAGAGGATAACTGTGTAACTTGCTTTGACATTTGTACCTAATATTTCCTTTTACAATTTCAAAGTAAAGCAATAAATTAATACTTCTTTTGTGGCCAAACAATTATTCAAATTCGATCTTCATTTTTAGTTTTTTAACTTGCTTTGACATTGTCTTTAATACTCCTAACAGTTTGGATTTTTATTTTTATTACATAGGAGATCATCTCAATACGGAGAAAGTATTAGAACAAAATTAAAAATCTAAATTGAATAATTATTTTTGGAAGGAAAGGTACTTAAAATAAAATTTAAAATGTGCAATCATTTTGAGACTGACGGTGTAAAAATATTTGTAAGGGAATTATTAATTTACTGAGATCGCTGGAGAAATGGAATATATGACTAGATGGGATATTTCATTACATCATCATTTGTTAAATAAAAAAAGGTATTTATTAGTACTATTTATGTCTTTTAAAGAAGGAGTTTTCATCTCACGCAGAAAATAATATTTGAATTTGTTTCTTTCACTTATATATTCACTTATCAACCTTCACCATTTGTGTGTCCATATACTTAATGTATTAAACATTAAAAAAAATTATTTTTAAAATTATTGATATTTTTCTAACATGAAGAAAAATGTGACTATAAATTTTACTTAAAATACAGAAATATTAATTTATCAATAATTAAAAACTCATTAATTTAAAGAGTTTTTTCATCTTATTAGGAAACAAATTATAAATCTTTGCGAGGAAGAAAAGAAAAATACCCTATAGGTATTTCGATTTTGAGGATATTGTGATCTTTGAAACCAATCAAGGAAGAAAGTGCTTAGTACTGTACAACATTAATTCTTATTTTTTTGTTGTATTATAACAAAGTGATATTGGAACTTTTGAAAGTAATGAGAAAAATCAAAGAAAACCTCTTCCAAGACATAAATTTCCAAATAAAATAAAGATTAATAACTTCATCTTTACTACAAATTCTAAGTTTTTATTTAGTTAATTATTAATTTATGAATTTTTAGGGACCTAATATTTACATAGGGGATTCTTGAAAAAATTATTATCTTATAAATTTGTCGAATTTGTTCAATTTTTTTATACTGATCCTAAGTGACTATATTGAACAAAAATTAAAAATTTAAATCGGAAAATAATTTCTGAACGGAAAAATTTAATATAATTAAGAACGATAAATTTAAAGATGTTCTACCGTACTAGGTGACTCCACGTTACAATATTAACCCTATATATCCCAAATTTGTTTGCATTCCAAATTTCTTTTTTTGCCTAAAGTGATTTCCTTTAATTTTTTAATGTCAATTTAAGAAGGGAAAAAAAAGGATAATGAAATGGCGTCTCTAGAGTCTAGAATCTAAAAGGATAAACAAAAATCCTTGGCCAAATGAACGGGGGCTGCCACTAATATTAACTGCAGAGGTTTGACGGTCAAGCCGCGTCATCGGGTCGATGGGGTCTTTAACGCGTAAACGCTAGTCACGGATCGCAATCCAGCTCTTATCCTTGTTTTGGGTTTCTTCTCCGGTTAACCTTTTTGTCCGACGGAATTAGGAGCGTGCATTCCCAATTTTTAACTAGGATGTGGTGGTGCTCAATGACATGCCTTTTTTTCCCCGCTAATTTAATGTTCTTTTTTTCCTTCAAAAGCAGCTCTTTTTTATTAAAATGGTAAACTTGCCTCTGTTTTAATTAGCTAGGCTAGATTTTCTTATTAAAACGTGTACCTGCGTAGTGGCGTATTACCGAGTACAACCTTCCCATTTGTTCCAATATAATTACATAGAATTAAATTTTTAATTTTTAATAAAATTTAATTAAATATAAAAATCTAAAATGTACCACCATTTCGATTTTAAGAGAAAAAAAAAAGCCGCCAAACTACTCTTATTATGTCAACGTGGAGATACGAGGATAATTTGCATGCCACTCTAACACACACCCTTCTTTCATTCATCCCCTCTAATGTAATAAGATCCATTTTATGCTTAGCTGATCTAAAGTATAAGGTAGTTATAATCGAGTATGTATATTTTTTTATATAGTTTTTTCAACAATCATAATTATATTAATTTAGATGTTTGATAAAAGAAGGATACAATTAAAAAAACACAACCTAGAATCAGTCTTAATATTATTATTATGTTTTCTTATTTATCATGGATAAACTTACATAAATGTAATATAAAACAGCGAATATATCACAACGTCAAAATTGTAATCCAATCAATAATAAATCGCGATGAAATCTCCAATTTCGTATATATAGTAATTAGAATTATAATGACTGAACTTTTTTATATCGTACCATACCCCAGCAAATCTGCAATAACAATAATACTAATATTGCTACCTCACCATCTC